GTGTACTTTGTCAGGTTCCCCTGGCTAAATTTTAGCAAATTTGTCACCACCCGGATATTGACACAGACATGCTATACCAGTGTTCAGATTTGCCCAGTTTAACTGGTGCTGCTTGCGTGTGTAATAAGTTCTGAAAGATTGCTGTGTAGATTTGTGCATCTTCAGTAACAGTCAGGGCTCCAAGCAGTTCCAACTGAGCAGGATCCACTCCACTGTCTTATTACACCAGCGCTGCCCTGCCTCAGCCTCTTCATGTTTTACGGACTCTCACAGAATTTCACATTTCCTTCTTGGCAAGCTATTGCTAATTGACACCACCCTTGGAGTAGCACTTTCATGTTACAAATGCAGTGTATTACTAGGTGGATAATACTTTTGCCATCTAGATTTATGGTAGAGCCCTTTACTACATTCACTAGCCAGGTTGGCCTCAAGTGTGTTACAAATGCTCTCCTACTGGAAATGGGGCAGACATTTCTTTCCTTTCTCAGCTTGTCCAATACCTGGACATATTGTTTTCAGGGAAAATCCAATCAAGGAAGCCGCCAGATGAAATGGCGATCCAACTTCTAGCTTTCAAAGAGCTTTGGACACACTGCTTAAGGGGCTGAGGTGATGCATATACAGCTTTTCATTTTTTTTGATGCTGGGGATGAACCCAAGACCTCAAACATGCTAAGCATGTGCTCTACCACTGAGTTACACCCTCAGTCCAATAGTACTTTCTCAATAGGGTTTTCAGGCTTTTATTAAAAATCATTTTTAAAAGAGTTTTTTTTTTTAATCTAAAAGGGTATTACCATTTTTCTAAATACAGCTTAATGGAAAATAATTTTATTTTCTTCAAAGTCACCTCTAGGAGAAGGGGCCTGGTCAGCCTCTCCCCAGCACATTCTGCTTGTCCTGGTCAGGGTAATCCAAGCAATGCCGCCACAAAAGCAGGCTGCTGTTGTTTTTTGTGTGTGGCAATGGGATTGAACTGAGGGCTTCATGCATGCTAGGCAAGCACTGTATCACTGAGCTACACCCTAGCCCTTCATATTTTGAGGCAAGATCTCACTAAACTAGTAGCTTCAAAATTTGATCCTCCTGCTTCGGCCTCCTGAGTAGCTGGGATTACAGGTGTGTGGCACTGAACCCAGGCTCTGGAATTCGGACTGGTCAGTAGTGAAATCAGTGTGGTTCTGCCTTTGTGATCACCGTCAGTTCTGCTGAAAGTAGAGCATCACTGAAGTTGGGCTCAAGGTGTGAATGCCAGGATGCACTTGGGAGGAGGGTTGTAAACAAGAGTGTGAGCCAGAGTGTAGATGATAGGGGCTTAGAAGGTAGGGACTCCAGGCAGACACAGCATGGGGCGGTGCTTGGTTCAGACGTGAATTTAGGCCAAATCGATCCCACTGAGCCTGGAAGAATTAACACACGTCACGCATAAAAGATAGAATTTAATTTAGCCATGTAGCTGTGCACATTCTGCATCTAGAAATGATAATAGAATACAAAGATTAGATTTTTTAAAAGTGTGTATGTATATATATGTGGTGTGTTTGTGTTTGTGTGTGTATGTGTGTGTACCACTTACAACAACACAAATAGCAATGATTAATTCTTATCCTTTGCCCCAGTGGGTCTGCTTTGGGTAATGTACCCTCCCGATGTGGTTGCATGTGTGAAAGTGACATCTGTGAGGGAGGTTTTCACTGTGGCCTTGTTTGTAATAAGAAAGCTCTAGTTTCCAAGTCAGCTGTAAACACAAAGCCTGCACAATTGTCAGCAGGGTGTTTCACTGTGCATTTTAGGGTCTTCACTTAGAAATGGATTGGATTCTGATCCACTGTCTTTGTTACTTTTCTTGTTGCTGAGACAAAATACCCAACACCCAAAGTTAAAGGAGGAAAGGGTTATTTAGCTCACACTTTGAGGAGGCTTTAGTCCATAATTGGCTGGCTCCAAGGCAGGGTGGCACATGGCAGAGGGGCAACAGTTCATGGTGGACTGAAGTAGCAAAGCAACAAGGGAACCTCATCTTTCTCTCCCTTTTATCTTATCCAGACTACTAGGATTAGGCTGGTGCCAAACCAATCAGTGGACTGATTCAGTAACCACATGCCCTGAATCCCAGCATCACACACTCTAGATTCTGCCACCTCTGAAAAAGCCTCCTATGACTGCATGAGGCTTTGGGGACATCTAGACACAAGCCATGCCATCCACTGTCCACTTTTATTTCTTGGGCTCCCACTGAGCAAAGTTCTGAGGCTGAGTGGAAGCACTGGTTGGGTCTGGTTGTGAATCCTTCACAGGGTTCACCAGCATCTCATCTGCCGGACTGGAGGATGCAGCACGGCTGGCCATGCTGCTTTTGCTTGGCAGGTTTGGGGGAATTTGTCCTTTGACAATTAGTGAGACTGTCTGCCTCCCCCTTTCCTTCTTATTCTGCTCAGGATTGGAAGCCAGGGGCTCCAGCTCTGCCTCTGGAGACTTGGAAGGGAAGGTTTGGGACCATCCCTGTGACCTGAGCACAGTGAGCTCGTCTAAAGCGACATCTGTGCTGCTCGCTGTCCAGATGGGTCATCTCTCCAGCAATTTCCCATGTGCTGAGCTCTGGGAAGATCATTAGTGAGACCTAGAACAGCTCACTTGGGCACACAGAGTTCAGCCTTGAAATGTGTGGAAAAGAGCAGAGATAACCTCTGGCTGCTGCTTGTACCTGGTGAGGAAAACTTACCCCATTGTACTGTAAACACCGACTGGAGAGCTAACTAAAAACGGTGAGATAACCTCTGCTCTGGGACAAAGGAGGATAGGAGTCAACCCCGAGTGTGGTTAGACAACATCTACACCGCTCAATCAAGAAAGAGCAATTCAAGCACAATTTGTAGTTAATTAACCACCAGAAGAATTGGCTGAAAAACTTATAAATGGTCATCTCTTTCACCAAGGAGATGGGAGAAGACAAAGGACCCTTGCTTACATTCTAAGCTCTCTGTCTGCCAAATATGATTTTTTTAAAAAATTAGGTGCCTAATTTACTTTGTTAAAAGTGAGAAATATGTATATCTTTACACCTGTGGAGCTAAACAAATAAAGCTAAAGGTAGCATCTGTATGATTACCTGAAGTATTGTTCAGTGTTACAAATTACGTGGTGTTTGCGGGGGAAAGGATAACATTGAAGTTTGTCAACTCTTGGATGAAGTAAAGGAAACATTGCGGTCATCTAACCTTCTCTGATCTGAATTTTTGTGTCTTTACTTCTCTGACTCACAGGACTTGGGTGCTCTAGGTCAGAGCCTCACAAAATTTTTCTGGAAAGGGCCGGGTAGGGAATGTTTCAGACCGTGCAGGTCCCGTGGTTTGTGTCATTACTGTCCAGCTCCCCACTGAGGAGTTAGACAAAGGAGGCTTAGAGACGGACGTCAGGCGCTAGCCCCACTCACAGGTGTGCAGAACAGGTGAGTCCTGTGTGCCTGGGGGGCCTGCCCAGGGGCTGCCCCTTAGCTCCTCCCTGTCACCAAAGTTCCCATCGCTGGGAGGACGCAGAGCTTCCCTTAAGTGGCTTTGTTAAGGCTTTGTTCCCTTAGGCGAAACTGTGTTGTATGTTGGGGTATAAGGAAATGTGACACCACCCTGTCCTCAGAGAGGGATGCATCTAAACACACACATGGTACCACTGAAAACTACGGTAAATATAATGATCACAGTAAAAGACACATTGCCATAAATCTCCCTCAGAATACTCCTGTTAGTCTTTTATTTCTTTTGCCTTGTGGTCTCTTGCTGCTTTCTTATGGACTCTGTGGATGTTTGTATCATATGCATGATGGTCAACTTTGCGTGTCAGACTGGGGGTCCGGGGGGCCTGTGTTGCTCCTTATTTTTGGCTGTGTCTGTGGGGACCCTCATGGGAGCCAGAGAACTGGGAGAGTAGGTCTCCTCCTTGAGTAGCTGAGCATCATCCAGTCACTGAGGGTCTGACTACAGGAAAGGTGGAAGGAGAGGTCACCTCTTCTCTTCCTGGGTGCCTGGTGGATGGGGACATCTCGTCTCCTGCAAGCAGACTGGGACTTGGCATCCAGAGCTGCACAAGGGGAGTGAGCAAGGTTGCTCAGTGCACGGAGGTCCAGGTGGCAGTCTAGGGTGGCAGAGACCAAGCAGAGCAAGGAGAGGGCAAGAGCCATGGTGACCCTGGTCGGGGGGGGGGGGGCGTTTCCAGGGCAGCAGGGAGTGTGCGGTCTGAGAGGCCTTGAGCACAGCCAGGAGGACCAAGGGTCCGAGGGCAGGACGGAGGCGACCCGGGTCCTGGAGGCCTGGGGTGTTCAGGACTCGGACCTCTGAGGAGGAGGGGACTGCAAACCTGTGGCCCTGGCTGGATGTGGCCGCCAGACATGCTGGGTTCTTGGGACAGTCTTCAGCCTGGGTTATTGCTGATGTTTAAACTCAGGGGCTTTTATGTGAAAATCTGGATTTCCTGCTGCTTTTAGAAAAGTGAAAGATAGGCCAGTGCTGGCTGAGAGATAGCACCGAGGCCCCTTGGTGGGGTGAGGTCTGCTTGGGGCAGTCATGTCCCTGGCCTTCACCAGGCTGCCACCCTCCGTGCCTTGGTGGGCTCATTTGAATATTGGGGAAATAGTACTGTCTTTTCTTTTGCTAGAAAAATTAACAGTTTATTTAACAACTAAAACAAATTGTTTTGTTTTTTGAGACAGGGTCTCACTGTGTATGTAGCCCAGGCTGGCCTCCAACTCATGGTGATCCTCCTGCCTCAGCCTCCCAAGTGCTGGGATTACAGGCGTGCACCACTAGGCCCAGTTTAACAGAGATGTTTATGTAAAAGACCAGAGTAGGTTTACTAAGTGCTTGAAAACATTAGTTGCTGTTGCTCCGTCGTTGTTACCTGTCTGCCTAGACCTGCTTGGTTGCAAGCCTACAGGAAGAATTCAGCAAGCCAGGGGTGGAGCGAGTGGGGGCTGAGAGGAGAGCAAAGCCTCCCTTCCTGAAGGGTGACACCAAAGCAGAGAGCGGGAGGGAAGGGACTGCGGCTCCCAGACCCTGAGAAAATTGCATCGGCCCCGCACTATCGGCCCACAAATCAGAGTTCATTTCTCTCCTTCCAAACAGCTCAGCACAGGGGCCCGGATGCCCAGTGACTCATCTAAAAGCCCAGCGAGTTCGCCCAGCTTGCAGCCTCTCAAATTGCATTTGCAGCTCCTTATCAGGCTGGCGAGGAAATTAAAGCGGCCGGCTGCGGCGGTGTTGCTAAGCAGAGCGGCCACTCGCAGACAGACACCCAGGCTGCGCCTCACGGCCCATTACAGCGTCACTCCCCACTGTGGCTAATAAGGTTTGAAATCGTCTAAGGAAACCTGCTGTTCTTTTTTAAGGTCAGAAAACAGGGTAATTTGGTTATGAGCAAGAGATAGAATTTCCCTTCCTAGGGCTGGAGGTGTGCGTGCGTGCATATGTACACACACACAGTTGTGTAAGGCCGTCTATAGGAGGCCTATGGTCTCATGTTAATAGAAGTGGGGCTTCGGAGACAGCAGTCCTGCCCTCCAGCACCCCTGGGCCCTGGCCCGTCCACCGCTGTGTCCCTCACCTGGGCTTCCCTTTGCCCGGGACGCTTCTGAGGACCATGGCTGCTCGGCTGGGAGGGAGAACTGCTTCGTTTCTTCTTCCAGGCCTTTCTCTTTCCACAACAGGGCCCTGGAGTCTGCGTGGGGCTCAGGCTGTGGGATGCTCGGCTCGTTCCCATGGCCCGGTGGGCAGACATCTGTGTTCCTGTCAGCTTGGTTCCTGGTGGCCCAGAAGATCAGAGCCAGAGGGCCCAGCTCCAGAGCGGCCGGCCGCGGTGGACTCAGGCGGCGCTGAGCTCCTCTGCAATGGTGTCGAGTGCACCTGACCTCTGGGGGCTGTGTGGCCGGCGGCTGGGTGTCTGGAGCCTCGGCCTGACTCAGCTGCTCTCTGTAAGGACTCGGGGCCCTTCCCTCACCCTGGCTCCTGGGCTGGGCCGGGGCCCAGTCCGAGTCCTTCTTTCAGTGGTGTCTTTGGTCACAGCTTCTCTACAGTGCTGAGGATTGCTTATTTTTAAGAGGCATAAAGGGATTTATTAGGCAGGACTTTAAAAGTATACACTTTTAAATAGATCAGAAAGAGATTTTGAGAGAGAGAGAAAGGCCTGGTCATCTGGAGCTGAGTATATTTATGAGAACTTTGGGGGTTCAAAGCTGTAGAAGTTGTAAGCCTGGGGGAAGAGGGGACACGGGTTACAGATGAAAGGCTCTTTCTGCAGGGGAAGGGTGGTGGCCCATTGGTGGTGACAGCCGTCCCAGGGGACAGCTGTACCCTGGCATGCGTGGGGACAGGCACATTTCAGTGGGATGCCGGGGATTATTAAGACTCCTCCAGGTTGCTGGCCCACAGCACTTCCCTGATGAGAGTGTGGGGCTTCTCAGCTCCCTGCAGGAATCAGCCTCACCAGCGCCAGTCTGCACGACACAGAGGTGGAGGAGAATTCTGTGTTGTGATTGAGATGCGACTGCGCCCTGAGAGGACAGGACTTGCAGGTTGGGGACATCTCTACACCCTCCATAATTGAGTGTATGTGTGCATTTTGTGGGCCTGCAGCAGGCTCGGAGCCCTCACCCTGGGGACACTGCTCACTAGGATCTGGCTGACCTTGGGGACCACACAAGCTGCTATGGGTCTGACTGATTCCTTCTGTTCCCATGTACCCCAGGAAGGTGTCTTCCATGCAACACTGGACCAAGCAGGGCTCTGATTTCAGTGTGGTCTTTTGTTCAGAGTTCAGCGTTAGGGTTTAGATAAAAAATGTTCCCCCAAACCCTGTGTTCAGAGGCAGAGCCTTGAAGGAAGTGGATCATGGAGGCACTGCACTCATCAGTAGATCCATCTGTGATGAGTGCAGATCTGACTGCTATTTGGAGGTGGGGTCCAGTTGGAAGTGGTGGGTCACTGGGGCTGTGACCTGGGAGGGTATATTCTTGCCCCAGCTCCTCTCTTCTCTCTCTGCTTCCCAGCTACCATGGCATGAAAAGCTGTCCTCTGCCAGGCCCTTCCATCATGCTGTATCTGCCTTGGAGCCAGCAGACCAGGGACTGAACACACCGAAACCATGAACCAAAATAAACCTCTCCTCCTTAAATTGTAGGTGTTCGGTATCAGTGACAGGAAAGTGATTAATACAATGAACCTGAATATTGATATTCAATCCTTAAGCCACCAAGATAGCCTGTTTAGTAAAACTCTGCAAATCTCACAGAGCTGCACTGAGATTTGTTTTGTGACAGTATGCCATGGGGCTTGGGTCTTTGGGTACTATTTCCATTCAGAGAAATGCTGACCATATTTAAATGGCCCCCAGTGGCAGGGCCCCAGAACAGAATGACCCCAGTATGTCCTGACCATGCCAGGGTCTCAGAAGGCACCACTCCCAGCTTGGAATGTGGCCAGGTTGGCCCAGCAGCCTCGGATTCTCAGGACACTCTCGCCTCAGTCAGATTTATGATTACCAATGATGGCATAATCATGGTGGAAAATGTGGAAAATGTAGAAAACCTTTGTAAGAAAATAAAAATCACCTATCACCTAACTCATAAATAACCACTACTAACCTTTGGAAATATCCATTTCAGGGCATAGATCTCTTTCTCTCATGCAAACGTGCATATGGATATATATATATATATATATATATATATATATATATATATTTTTTTTTTTTTTGGTACCGGGGATTGACCTTGGAACCTTGTGCTTTCGAGGCAGGCGCTGGAACCACTGAGCTAAATCCCTGGCCCTATATGGATATAATTTTTAAAAACAGCATTGTTCTACTTTGTAACCTGATTTTCCATTTAATATCATCTTGTAAACTGTTTTCCCTATGTCCTTAAATTATTCCACATCTTCATTTTCATGATACAGAAATGTTCTGATTTATCTCCTTAATCCCCCCTCTCTCTCTCTCTCTCTCTTTTTGGTGGTACCAGGGATTGAACTCAGAACCTTGCACTTGCAAGGCAGGCATGATGCCACTGAGCTAAATCCCGTCCCTCCTTAATCCTCTTATGTGACATTTAGGTTAAGTCCAATTTATTTTTTTGCCATTATAATCATTGCTATAATGAACATCCTTGAGGCTTAAATTTAGCACTTTTTACAAACCCTGTTATTGGTATTGCTAAATATTATTCTGAAAGATTTTTTTTTCCCATAGAGTCTCACTATGTTACCCAGGCTGGTCTCAAATTCCTGGACTCAAGCCATCCTCTTGCTTCAGCCTCCAGAGTTCTGGGACTGTAGGTGTATGTCACCACTCCTGGCTTGGTTGTACATTCTTTTTTTTATTTTTTTGGTACTGGGGATCGAACTCTGGACCTTGTGCTTGCGAGGCAGGTGGTGGAACCACTGAGCTAAATCCCTAGCCCTATACATTCTTTTCTTTACTTTTTTTCTCTTCTTTTCTTACTTTTCTTTCTCTTCTTTTTCTCCTTTCCCATTCCCCTTTGCTTTTTTTTTTTTCTTTTCTTCAATACTGAGCTACATCCACAGACCTTTAAAAAAAAAGTTTAGAAGTTTTTTATTTTGAGACAGGGTCTCGCTAAGCTGCCCAGACTGGTTTAAACATGCAGTCCTCCTGCCTCAGCCTCCTGAGCTGCTGGGATTACATGTGCGCAACACCAAGCCTATCTGGTTGTATGTGTTTCCAACCAGCTGCGTGTGGTTTCCTTTTATTACAATTAAAGTATATTTGCCAGCTTGGTAGGTGGAAAGTGGACATCTCATTGCTAATTTTAGTACCTCGGATTAAGCACTGTCCGTGGGGAGGTGGTGCTGAAGTGTCCTTAGTTATCCCTGGGGTAGGTGGAGCTGGGGACTGCCAGGGGCTGAGGGACCTTCCCAGGGCCAGCTCTGGGTCACCTGAGTGGCCTCTTGTGGGGCTCAGAGCAGGGAGGACAGGGCGCTGTGATGCCCCATGCAGCAGGCCCGGGTGGCTTTGGGTGGCCAATGCCGCACCCCCTGGCCTCTTCCAGGGAGAAAAGTTTTCCCAATAGGAAAAGCAAATTTGGCATAGGGGAGCCCAGAACTCTGCTGAGGTAACAGTAACCCTGGGGTTTCCAGAGCTCGTGGGGAATCAGAGGCTGAGACTATCAGAGCATTGTCATGTGGATTTACATCAGCCCTCCTGGCCGCAAAGGGACTCAGGGTCTCTTGGTGTGGGACTTGCAGTGGCCAGAAGAGAGCATGTTGGGGACAGAGGGCGTGACACACTTGGGCAGCTGCCATGAGAGGAGCCTGCCTTCTGGAAGGATCCCGAAGAATTTGGTTGGACTTCAAGGTGTGACAGCATTTTCCATTAATCCCGGTCAAACAGCTTTGTGTTTTTCAGAGTGCTTTCTTGTAGATTGAATTTGATCTTCATAATATAAAATATTTTCTCTGGGTTTATTGGATTTAAATTTTGTCAGTGTTTGAACAACTGCTCACATGGGAGGGTGTGTTTGATGACAGGCGTGGAGAGGAAGCTCAGTCATCTTACAGGCCTTGGTAACAGCTTTGAGGAGTTGGCTGTGGACCCCCAGGCCTGATGGGGGCGCTGTGGGGCAGTGAGGGGCTCCTTGTGGCAGAGGGCAGAACAGGAAGTGCTTAGGACCACAAGAGGTGCCATTGTGGACTTGAGGTTCAAGGCTTTGTTTTCTGTCCCAGGATCCATGTGTGAGAAGAGTAGGAGATTCTTTTGCCTAAAAGCTTTCGTGTGTTGTGTGAGCTTTGGTGGGCCATGGTCCTCAAAGGTAAAATGAGATTATAATAGTATCCACCTCAAGGAATTGAGGGGAAATTGAGTTAATACATTTAAAAAAGGGCACTGAGTGCATATTAATTATTTTGAAGACAACAGTAGTAATAGCCAAGAATACTGGGCTCCACAGGTTAAAGCAGCCTGGGGTGGTTTATTGCCTTGTCTCCCAGCACGGTTCTGGCCAGTCCCACTCTTCCCCTTTATGGCCTCATAAGGGACATGGTGACAAACAAGGGGGAAAAGCTATTTTTCAGTCTACTGCAGAAAGATGCTTTTGGAAGAATAACCAGCCTGGTGATTTTATGAAATAACAGCCAAAACAGAAAACTTTACCTTGAGGATTTCATAAACCTCTTTGCTACATCAAAGGCAGTGGTGGAGTGACTTCTCCCATGGAAGGGACCCCAAGAATCGAAAGTTTGAGTGGTGTCCTTTAATGTGAGTCATGCTCACCAGCTGTGTGACGGGGCCAGTTACTTAACCACCCTGGGCCTCAGTTTCTTTATTTGTAAACAGGAATAATGCTGAATAGTGTTGTTGAGATTTCTAAATCAGATGTTATCTATAGAGTGTTCAGCAAGTGAAGTGCTTGGAGCCTGGTGAGGGATCAATAAAAACCTATTACTGTGTTTGTTATAGCTGCTCTCATGTTAGAGATGCCCGATTACAATTCACAGCTCAGAGAGGAGATTATTTTCACAGCAGGGCTTGTCCCATGATGGCCCCTTTCCCCCTTATCCTGAAAGACAACACTCCTAGAACCCCCCACCCTACGCCTGACCCTTTGAACCTGGTGGAGAAAGGGAGAAGGCAGTGTCCTCCTGGGTGCACAGGGGCTGAAGTCCCATTTGTCCTGTCTCTGCGTGTGTGTCTGGGTGTGTCTCCAGGCCCAGGAAGGAGGAGTGACTCATGGCTACTATTGCACAATCAGAGCCTTGGAGGATTTTGAGGTATTTAGAGCTAAACCCTCCTCATTACGGACTCCTTCTAGTTTCTTCCCTCTACCTGACCATTCTTTTTCTGTCACAGTTAAGCTTACTTGGCATCTTGGTTGGCTGTCCAGGTGCTTAGGGGATTAGTAGCACACACTGCTGGGTGTGTCCAGGTGGATATTATCTGGCCCCTCCTCCCTTCTTTCTGATACTGTTCTCTTGGTTCCTGACCCCATGAACTAAGGCACTTTATTCCACCACATCCTCTCACTGTGATGTTCCTGCCTTGGAGCCAGCTGGCCATGGACTGAATCCCCTGAACTGTGAGCCAAATTATATCTCTCCTTTAAACTGTGTATGTCAGGCATTTGGTCCCAACCCCAGGAAAGCTGACTAATACACTCAACTTCTCTTGACTGCGTCATGGCCTCAGCTGCTCTCCACCCACTCCTCTGGGAATGGATAAGTTACAGACGCATTCATCTATAAAAGATAAGGCGGTGGTGCAGAGTGGCTGTGGCATAGGGATTTATCTCCCTCACAGAGCGGGGAGACTGAAGCTAGGTGGGGGTGCTCACTGTGACTTGGTGTCCCTCTCCTCAGGCCCATGGTTCCAGACATCACACCTGCACTCCGGGCAGGATGGAAGGAGGAAGGAAGCACAATTTGCATTTGTCTCCTTCCTCTTTTAAGAAATCAGAAAAGCCAAAGCTTTCCTGGCCATCCCTAGAATTTTCCCACTTAGACTTCATTAGCCCAAACGGTGCTTACGTTGTCTCTGGTCACCAAGGAGAGGAGGAAGCTAACATTTCATTGCTCTAGCTCCACAGTGGAGGCAGGAAGAGGAAAGCGGGCTTGGGGGTACAGAAAGGGCCTGCAGGGCTCACCTTGTGGTGGCGTTGGTGACAATGACCAGACATAGGCAGCTATGCCTTATATAAAGCCGCAGTCTTTCCCTTTTCCTGACTGCATCTTATTAAAGCCATTTTCCTCCTCTAACTTTTTTTTCTTACAAATTTGCTAAGATAGAATGGACGTGAACTGCACAAGTTTAAGGTGTACAGTTGGGTAAATTTTGACTCAATTGTATACCTGTGAAGCCAGCACCACACCCAAGATAGTGAACATATCCTTATCCTGAAACTCCTCTTAATGATTTTTCCCAAAACAAGCTTTAACACTTATCTGCTTTCTGGCACTAGAGTTTAGTGTGCATTTCTGAAAATTACATACAGATGGAATCATACATGATGTTTCCTTTTTGTCTGACTCCCTTCACTCACCTTAATTATTTTGATATTTGTCTATGCTGTTGTGCATATCAATAGCTTGTCCTTTTTTATTGCTGCATGCTATTCTATTGCATCTCTATCATTTCAGCTGTGGATGGACATTTGAGTTAGCTTCAGTTGTGGGGTTTTACAAAGAAAGCTGCCATGTGCATTAATATGCAAGTCTTTTTTGGACACATGCTTTCATTTCTCCTGAATGTGATCACAGGGAAGGGGACATTTAAAGTTTTTA